GCCCATGCCATGGAGAAGCTGGCGGCCGGGCTGGCCGGCTTGCGCTGGAGCATGGGCGCCTTCCCGCTGGACCTCATCGTCAGCCGGTGCCGCTTGCCCACGCTCGCCTGCCTCGGGCCAGGTACTGGGGCTGCTGGGAAGGGCGGCGGAGGGCATGGGACCAAAAGGGACTCTCCCAGCAGGTGCTATTTGGGGCCCTGAGGATGCCGCCCCTGCCCTCCCGCTCCCCTGTGCAGGCCCCGTGCCACTCCTGGCGCGCCTCCCTGGAGACCCAGGGCCCACCAGCCGAGGGGCCTCCTCTTCTAGGGCCCCGCAGATTGGGACAGGGACAGAAACCTGGGACAGGGATTGGAGCCGGGTCCTGACCACAGTTCTCCGACCCAGCTTTAGCCCAGAGAGCGGCGGGACCACCACGCCCGCCCCGTCGGTGCACCCCCTTCCCTGAGTACCTCCCCAAACCCCTGCCCCGGCCGCGCCCCCTTCCATCCCTTTGTCTCTGGCCTCTCACCTCGATCCTCTCGCATCCCTTGGGCCTTGGACTCTGTCTTCCCACCGCTGCCGACTCCCAGCCCAGCTCAGCCCCTCTTGGGACCCTTCTTGCACCCTCCTTTCGCGGCCCAGGGAGCAGCCTCCAGTCCTCGGGGCGAGCAGGCCATCTCTGGACCGGAATGAGCGAGTCCTCCCGTCCGGCATGCCTCCAGCCCTCCCCACATCTTGCCCCACTTCTCCTTGGGGCCCGGGGGCCCGGACTGCTCTGCTGATGGGACCGTGCCTGGGGGCCTGAGAGGGGATGCCTGGAGTGAGGGGACCGTTTGGGGGAAGAGGGGCTGCTTGGCTGGGGGAGGGGCAGGAGCCGGTGCTGGCAGCCAGGCCGGGGGTTTTGTGTGTGAGAAGAATAGGGGTTTGGCCCGCGTTGGCACACTCGCTTCCCTGAATGCTAATGGGGCCCGTGGCCACAGGCTCCTCTCCTCTCCTTTCTGCGGGGCCGGCAGCCCCTCCTCCGACCCGCAGCAGCGAGTAGTGGGTACAGTGAGAGGCAGTGTGTTCCAGGAGCCGGTTCCGTGAGAGTGTCTGTGCCTGGGCCGTCGGGCAGAGGTGCCTTGCAGTCCAACGTCTTGTTCTCCGGATCATCAGCGTTTGATGCCGACTGTGCATGTCAAAAGCAAGGCTGTGTGTGTCTGTGTGTGAATGAAGTATGCTGGCCCTAAGTTCTGCCTAGCCACTTCCCACACATCTTAGGCATCTCCCCCTCCTGGGGGTCCTTTCTGAGCTCTTCAGTCTGGCAGGCCTCCTCTGACATCCCTGTCACCTCTGTCGTGTCCCTATTGTGCATCTGTTATAATGGTCAGGTACTGTCTTCCTACTGGGCTGCAGGCTACTTGTGGGAGGGCATTCTGCCTAACAAAGATTACAGGAGGGATCAAATGCATAAATGAGGGAATGAGCAACTGGTGTGATGCCTAGCTGTCTGTGACAGTGGTGGCTATAGCTTTCGTCACCATATATGATCAAAAGTGTCTTGAAGTATTGAAGGTCCCTGTGTGTGTAATTGGGAGGGGCCCCTGAATGAGACCATGGGACTGAGTTGTGTCACTGGGGCCACAAGCCCCTATCACTGTGGGCCAGGTGGCAGTGATGGTTGAGCTGCTGGTGACCATGACCCATGGTTGTTGGTGTGTGTCCTGTGTGGCTGTGGCCTGCATCTCTGTGGGAGAAGAGCTCTAAAAGGAGGTTGCAGAGTAGGACAGCTTCCTCTGCCTCAGGCAGTGAGGAATTATGGACGAAGGCTCAGACACTCCCCACCCCACTGCTATCACACACACACACACATATTGTGGGAGCTAGGCCCTCCCGGCAGGTCCTGGACACACTTTATCCTCTCCTGCGCCTCCCTCCTTCCCCAAATGTACACACTTCAAGGAACTCCTAGCCATCAGAGTGAACCATTTCCCATTTGGTTGGGTGGCAGAAATTTAATAAATTGTGTCTGAGGGAGCTGGGAAAGAGGTGTCCCCCACCCCCACCCTGCCCATCAGCTGCATCCAGGAGACGGCTTTGCTGGCCTCCTCCTGGAAGCTGGGCCAGCCCCTCCAGCTCCCCTGGAAACCGTTGCTGGGGTTGGAGCCTCTGGGGCCCAGGCCCCTCCCAACACCTTTGCCCCAGTGCAGCTTCCCCCAGGACTAGGCCTCCTCTTCTAAATCCACCCCCTCTTCTGGCCATCATCACTGTATTCCAGAGCCTGGGAGGATGAAGGGCTGAGGGAGGGAGAGACGAGAAGCGGCTTCTCTGAGATGGGGTCGGGGGTTCCTGAGACTTTCTCCCCTCTCCTTTGAGGCAGTGGGTGAGAAGGAAGGCGCTGCTCAAAGAGAGCCAGGAATCAGCTCCTCCAAGCCCTGGCATTCTCCTGACCCGAGTGACCCACAGCTCGGTGGGAGTCCTCTCAGCTGGGATCCACAGTGGACAGCCTCTTCTTGAACCTCTCTGTACCCTCAACAAGGCTCCCTTGCCTGGCCTAGGCAGTGACATGGGGGCTGAGGATTCTGCTGGTGTGAGTTCGAGTTGTTCTGAGGCCCAGCTCAAGTGTCTGCTGCTCAGCACAGTCTCCCTCAGCCTCCCACCCCTAGCTTGTTTGCTACACACTCTGTGAGAGCTCAGACACCACTTAGCACCTCAAACTTGGCTTGTATTCACTGTTCACATCTCTTCCCACCTCCCCATGGGCCAAAGGGCTCCTGGAGGGCAAGGGTTGGGCTCATCCGATGGGAGCCCCTAGTTCCAGCACAGTGCCTGGGACAGCAGGCGGTCCAGATGAATGATGAATGAAGGACAGCACTGGGCTGGTTGCTGGGACCCCAATGGGAGCCTGAGCCCTGTGATAGGGCCTGACTCAGCCCTGGGGTCACAGCTGGCAGCCTGCCTGTCACTTGAGCATTGCTGGTCTGAACAGGGATCACGAGGAGCTGTCCCTGGGCGGGGGTGAGGAGGTCACCCTGTCTATCCTTTCTGCCCCTCATAAAGTTCTCTTTTTCTGTCCTTCCTCCTTTATCCTCCTTTCCCCTCCCAGGGGAGTATGCCGAGGGCGTCAGTGAGCGAGACATCCTGCTCATTCATTCCTGCCGCCAGTGGACAACGGTGACAGCCCACACCCTGGAGGAGGGCCACTACGTCATTGGGCCCAAGATTGACATCCCACTACAGTATCCAGGTGTGCCCAGCCAGGGACAGATGGCATAGAGCTGGCGGGGGCTGTAGGCAGGGGGGAAGGGGTGGAGAAGTCTTGGGGGAAGCTGTTGGTGACCAGCCTTTCCCTGGAGCCGCAGGGGTGAGCGAGGTCACAGTTGGCAGGGTGGTGATTAGTGCTGGTGAGGGTTAGAGTTAGGGCCCAGTGGTTTTCATACTGTTCTGTGGAGCCTTGGGTTTCTGCTTGGAAACCTTTGACTCACATTTTCTTTTAAAATAGATTGTAAACTAATGTTTAAAAAAATTATATCCTCAAACTGCTACAAATCAAACCTTAACCCTAAAGAGAGATCTTTGGCGTGTACTGTGATCTGCCTCATTAACCCTTTTGGTACAGACCCTCAAAGAGAACATCTCCTGCCAGAATCTGCCAGTATTGTACAACCAAAAATTTCAGGAAAAAAAGGAACGCTCAGGCTGACTATACGGTTGCATTTGCCAGCTCTAATTCTGTTTTTTTTTCTTTCAATTTTTTGTTAAACTCATTTTCACTGATTGACTTTGTAAGTGAATGTTAAGATTTTAGACTCTGTTTTTGATTTTAGACTTTTAAATAAGATTGAAATAAGCTAATGAATTTCTACTTTTATGTTTTACATATGATGCTGATGTCCTGTCTAAGATTTTGTTTGAAGAAAGGATTCTGCTGCTAAACACACACACACACACACACACACACAAACACACAAACTATAGCCCTTTTATTTTATACATGATGAAATGGGGGGGCCTAAGAAGGAAAGTGACTTTCCCAGGGTCACACGGCTAGTGAGCAGCAGAGCAAGGGCTAGAACCCAGGTATCTTGACTCCAGGAATGCAGGGTTGTTGTCCCTGTGTGGGAAAGATGCGAGTTTGGTGGCCACATCCCAGAGATGCCCCCATGCCAGCCCAGGAGACCACAGCTCCTGCATATTAAATATGTGCTGCATGCCAGACACTGGGCTGAGCGTTTTCATCATTGCATCCTCACAGTAACCATGAGAGAGTCTTATCAAGCTCCAGGAGTTCAGAAGCCAGCCCAATTCTGTGTCTTTAACTGTCACCCTGCTCCCCCCCCCCCACAAAAGGCTGGGAATCCTTTGAGCTGAGGAGGCTCACAGTCCTTCCTCACAGGTACACTGTTCCCCCTCTGGCCCTGCTTAGGCCTCCGCTGAGCCAGTGGGACACGACTAAACCCTTTCCAGGGCTTCTGCTCTTTACAACACCCTGTGAATTGATATCCCTATAGCCCCCACACTCCATTTAAAAGATAAGGAAACTCTCAAGTTTTTGTCTTTCTGACTTGGAGTTCTGTTCTGGGCCTGAGCCGCTGGGGAGGCCTGCCCCAGCTAGAAACTTCCCAGCCTGAGTATTTGGCATTGGTCTGGGGAGAGGTCCCAGGTCTTCTTGGGATAGAAAAGCAAATATTTGATCCAGAAGAAGTGTGTGATTAAAATCAGAAGTCATAAAAAAAAGCAAATATTGGGAAAAGCTCTCATTGACAGAGGTGTGACTTTAGGGACTGCACCATTTCAGTCTGTCATTAGGGCACTGTAGGCGCCGAGGGCTCCTTGCCCTTTCCCCGCATCTCTTTTGGTGTCCCCCTGAGTGCATGACAGAGGTTATGGGGTGACACTGGCCCGCCGGGGTGTGGCATCCCCAGCCCCATCATTCCGCTGGACAGGCTGGGCGCTGCCTGGATTGGGGCGGGGAGGCCTAGGCCCCTTGGAAGTGGGAGGGGCCAGGCCACTGGCCGGTTAACGAGGAAGCTCTGACTGCACAGCTCGACGCTAGTTCCTCCTAATGAATTAATAATGTCGCGGGCGAGGCGGCCGGCTGCGGACCCGGAGACAGCCCCTACGAAGCGGGGGAGGGGAGGAGGGTGGCGCCTTGTGCCTAGAGGGGTGGGGGACGCTGCGGGTGACCCGGATCTCCAGGCCACGGCCCACCGCCTGGGAGGCCGGGAGACTGGGCTCCTTGGGGACCGCCGCCCCACGCCCGGCGCTCCCGCTCGGTGCTGCTCCCCAGCCCTGCGGAGCACCGGGTTGTCGCGCCCCATAAGCCAAGTAGTATGCTTCCATTTTACAGGTGGGGAAACAGAAGCCCATAGAGATTAGATAAATTTGCCCAAGGTCACACAGATGGTAGGTGGCAGAGCTAGGATCCAACAGGGTCTGTCTGACTCCAGAGGCTGTACATTTACCCACCATTATTTATGGAGCGTCTGCCATGGGTCAGGTGCTGGCAGAGAGGGGTGACAAATAAGAACCTGCTTCAGGCTGGAAGGGACTGTGAGGGCTGTGCAAACGCAGTTCTGGGAGGCCAGGGCAGAGGAGGTCCCTGGACCCACGGGGGACCTCAGGTCTCACGTAGGGGGAGGCAGGGGAGGAAGCTGCCTGAAGCAGGGCTGCAGAGGGAGGAAAAGGCTTCCAGGGGCCGGAGCATCACTCCCCGGAGGTCTCCCTTCCTTCCTCCCAGCAGTGATGACCGGCACCGGGCTCAGGCTGCGGCAAAGGGAGTGGTGCTGGCTACCATGGTTACATTGATCTTCCTGCTGTCCCCCACCCCTAGCCCTGACTTGGCTCCAGCTCTCCCTGCTTGGCTGTTTGGGGTTGGGGGTTTGTGTGTGGATACGGGGGAAGAGGCATGGTGAGGGAGAGGGGTACTCCTGTTGGATGGTGGCAGACCTGTGACCTCCTGGTTTATCCCTGCCCCCATCTAGGGCTGAGGCACATCTGAGGCCTTTTCCCACCAGGGTCTCAGAGTGGTTAGGGTAGCTGGGGTGGGGGTGGGCAGGACTCCCTTCCAGCTTTCTCCTGGGCATTTTCCCTTCTCTTTCTTGGTTCTCACGTTTCCTGCTTGGAGATGGTGGTGGTGCAGGCTCTGCCCCTCGCCCTCTGCTCTTCATACCCTGCATTAGGGGGGTCTCAATCTGGGTTTCTGGCTGGGCTGTGGGGGCTCTAAGAACTCCCATACTGTATATAAAATTGTGTGTGTGTTCCTGCTAGGAGTACACTGGGATTTTTCTGGGAAGAGGGTCCCCAAAGGGTCAAGTTCCTCTGTTTTTCCTCTTCCCTGAGCCTTCTTGCCTGCCCCACAGCTGACGCTGCCTCCTGTGGGCTGGTGACTTCGTCTGTTACTTCTGACTAGGCGTCCTCAAGCCCCTCACCCACATGCTCACCTGCCCTAGGAGCACCCCCAGCAGGGCCTCACTTGGCCTCCCAGTTCAGCCCATGTCCCACAGCTCATTCCTTGCAGGGTCCCAGTTTTGGTTAACAGCTCTGCTGTCTCCATTTCTGACCAGGTTGGTGGCTGAGTCCCTTCCTCCCCCACCTCCTCCTTAACATTGGTCATCTTAGTTTGATGAGGCTCTCTTCCGAGTATCTCTTGGCCTGCTCATATTTTTGCTGTTCCCTCTATTGCTACCCCAGCTCTTTTCCAGAACTTATTCCCCATTTATTTACCTGAATGGTTTCTCTGTTGTCTTTATAGAGTTCAACTTGGGTCTTGGTCTCTCCTTACTCAGAACACTCCAGTGGGTTTCCTTCTTATGGAATAAAGTCCTTCCATGTGGCATTCAGAGCCTTTCATAACCCAGTTGTTGTCTACTTCGGCCCTATCATCCCCCTCCTCAAGTCCTACCCTCTAGGCATCACCATTTGGGGCAGGCAATCTGCTTCCAGGACTCCGTGCCTTGGCTCATGCTGATTCCTCCAGGTGGAATGTCCATTCTGTAAAATTCTTTTCATTCTTAAGATCCCCTCAGACTGCCAGGCAGGTTTCCCCCAACTCAGTGATCCTCTAGCTCTTTTGTCACAAGTCTGTTGTAGCATTTGTCACATCCAGCCATCACTGGGTGCTCACTGTTACACCTACTATACCTGGATTTCCTGGAGGGCCGACTGTATCTTTTTCAGGTTTGCACTTCCTATTGGGCCTAGCCCAGTGTCTGGTACATGGTGGGTGCTTCAAAAATGTTTTTGGAATGAAAAAATGAATGGACTGTGACTGCAGCCACCACTAGGAAGACTACAGAAGCTGAAGAGTCACCTTGTCTTCTCTTGGTCCACACAAGACTCTTCTGTGTAAGGCCTGAGAAGGGGCCTTCTGTCCAGAGGCCAGGGTGGTTCACAGCCTGTCTTTGTGCTCATATAGGTGGGCACATAAAGGTGTGTGGACAGTGAGGTGAGGTTTACCCAGGGGTGTCAGCTTCATGGATTAGCATTGTTGTTTAAAGTCTGTGTCTGCTGAGGGCATCTGCTGAGCCAGCCAAAGCACACAGCCCTAAACTGCAGGTTTGAAAGGCCTCATCTGAGGGAGGGGGCTTTGATCACCTCAGATCAGAGGTCTCTGGGACAGTAGGGCTGGATGTTGGGACCAGTGCAGGATTTGGGAACAGAACAGATGTCAGACAAGCAGCAATTCTGGGCCTCCAAGTCCTGGGTCTGGGCCCCTGGTCTGTCCATTGCATCAGTATGGGTTAGCAACCCAGGGCAGATGCATAGGATGTCAGATCCAGGCAGGGCCCAAGGTCATCTGCTCCAACCTCCTTAGATGAGGACCTAGCAGCCCAGAGAGGGGAAGGGACTTATCTAGGGTCACAGCAAGTCAGAGTGGGGCTGGGACCAAGCGAGCACTCAGCACCCCCAGTACCACACTGATGCTTGGTCGGAGGACAGCTCTGTCCCAGTGTTTGGGTGCCAGTTTGCACTTGGGTTTCTCTGGGCAGGCAGCTGCTCACCTTATCACACACCCACAAGCTTTCCCCTGGGTGAGGGCTGGGCTCTAGTTGCTAGGAATCTGTGCTCACCTTCCCACTGAAGCTTAAACCAGCTGACCAGCTCCTTCCACTAGAGCAAACCTGCCCTTCTGCCCACCTGAGTTCCAGAGGGTCTGGCTAAGAAGAGGGGAGGTGGGGACCATGAGGTCTTTTGGATGCAGGCCAGGTTCCCAGCAAGCAGGCCCACGCTAGCAGCCTGCGTTGCCTTGCATGCAGGGAAGTTCAAGCTCCTGGAGCAGGCCCGGGATGTGCGGGAGCCAGTGAGGTACTTCAGCAGCGTGGAGGAGGTGGCCAGTGTCTTCCCTGACCGCATCTTTGTGATGGAAGCCATCACCTTCAGTGTCAAGGTCAGTCCTTCCTGCAAAGGCAGCCCCCAGGCTGATGCTTTCCTCAGGAGGCAAGCCTGACCCTGGTTGGAGGGTCACCCCTAGGGCCTGGGAGGTAGAAGTGTTACAGGGTGGCTTCTGGCAGCCCCTTGAGGCCTTTGGCCATGTCAGAAGAGCTGAGTGTATGAACATCCTGGAACGGGGCCTTAGAGCTTCCACAAAAGATGAGGAAGCAGGGAGTGTGTCTGGAGGGTCATGCCCTGACTTGGGGACCTTTCAGGGCAGCTGTCCTAGTATCCACTGGTTGTGGGGGACAGTGTAAACAGCCCCCCACTTGTGTACAGGTAACCCTTTACTGTTTACAAACTCTAACCCATGAATTCATTTCTCTTTGGAGTAGTCTTGTCGAATGGGTAGAGGACTATTATTGCCCTAATTGTAAAATAATAATAATAAAATGTGCTGCATATTGAATATTTTCAAAGTATTTAATCCTTACTGCAATTCTTCCAAGCAAGTTACTACAAGAGGTAACAGAGTGAAGGCTGCACAGTCATCATGTGGCCTCCCAGGATGGACTGTCATCAGTCCAGGGCTCCTGATCTGGTCTCAATCCTGAGAAGGCCCCAAGGGAGGAGGGCTGTCCTGGGTCCGGAAGGGCTTTGCAGGGCTGGCTTTCGCTGGGGCCCTGGCTAAGGCCTCTCCTGGTTCTGGGGTCCCCAGGTGGTGTCAGGCGAGTTCAGCGAGGACAGCGAAGTGTACAACTTCACTCTGCATGCGGGCGATGAGCTCACTCTCATGGGGCAGGCGGAGATCCTGTGCGCCAAGACCACCAAGGAGCGCTCGCGCTTCACCACCCTGCTGCGCAAGCTGGGCCGGGC